GGAGGAGGAGGAGGAGGAGGAGGAGGAGAAACAGGAGAAACAGGAGGTGGACGGCGGGGAGAGTGCGAAGCTGCGCCTCAGGGAGGAGCTGGGCCGGAGGGTGAGCTGAGGCGGCCTGCCGCCGTCCGTCCGGGCGGGAGATAGGCGGCCGCGGGGCCGCTGCCGGGGCCGAGGCGCGGCCGGGGCCGTGCTTCTGGTTTGAGGGGTGGCAGCTCCGCGAATCCTGTAACCTCGGGCGTGATCCGCGCGAAGAAGAGGAGGGCGAGTCCCGTCGGTTCTTGTGGAACCGCTTTTTCTCAAAAAATTGCTTCCTTTCCATATGGTCACATTGTATAAAGTCAGTGGTATTTTTGATTGCCGGGGAAGCTGTAAAGCTATGACATAACTATATTGCAGGTTGTTTTCTGTTCAGTGTAAGTGCCTGGTTTAGCCCTTTTTGGTCTGTTGGAACTGTAAGTACAAGATACTAGTGTAGCTAGTGGAAAAGGTGTGTTTTCGGTATACCACCTTCAGTTTGGCTAATCTGGCTCTGTGGCAGCTTTCTACTGTTGCACCAGTTCCAGGAGGCACAAAGAAAGAACAAAGCCATACATACTGTTTGTTTCTAACAAAAAGTATTAAGTGCCCGCAGACCAGATTTTGTTTGTTGGCTTTTATTCTTGTCCTCCTGATTGCTCTTTAGCATTGACAGCTGTCATTGTAAAAGAAAATGGGAATACCTGTCACCTCTGCCAGTGCAAAGTGGTAAATCCCATTAAAGAAGTTTGTGCAGAACTCCAGAGCAACAGAAAGGCTTCCATTGCTCTTAATGCCATTTTAGGTGTTTGGGGTTTTTTATTTATTTCATTTTGAATCATGATAATACATATGAGTATAAAGTCTGTTGTAGATATGATGCAAAATTTTGTTTTCTAGAGTTATTTTTGCATGTTTTCTTTTCCTCTGGGGGAAAATTGTGATCTCTGATTATAAATAGCTAGACATACTTTGCCTTCCCAGTAGGGATTGCTTTCAGTGGTAGGACAAATATCAATCCATGTAAGATAACCCATTTCTAGAACGGTTATTCAGTATTTCATTTTTATATCTAGTGCCACTTTGTCTTCAGTGGTCCATTCAGAAAACCACAACCATATTTGCATGTAGCTGTCTTAAAATACTAGTAAGCTTGTTCACTATCAGGGTTATAATACATTAGTTTATTTTTAAAACTTAAATTGAGGTGCATCTTTTGCCTTTCAGATTAAAGAGCAGAAGGTTGTAGTTGATGAGCTTTCAAATTTGAAGAAGAACCGGGTAAGTATGTATTTGCAAATTTGGTTTTGGCTATTTCATTTTAGCATCAGAGAAATAAGTGTGGAGACAAGAGGGGAGAAAAATCGGAGCACACTGTCTTTAATTTATTCCAATACAGATGTTAGTACAGATGTGCTCTGCTGTTCTCAGAACAATTTGTCCTCCAACTTACTTGATTGTGTACACTTGTCCAGTGTAATACAGTGCATTGTTGGAACTTTTTGTGTTTTATCTGAGTTATTTCATTAAAATGTTTGGGTTGATCAGAAGACTTTGTGAGGTATTCTTACTTTTCATGTATATGAGTTTTAAAATAGAATGTGATCCCTCAGGTACGAGGAAAAGAGAAACACAGAATAGTCATGGGTTGATCATTAAATGTTTTTGATGATATGGCATTAGAATGTGCCTGTTGTCAGGGCAGAACTTATTCTCCTGGCATAAAAGTGAAGGGGTGTATCAGTGGACCCACACCAGTGTCTCCTGCAGTGTGGTTGCCAGAGCCTGTTGCTTTGACTTAATGCAGCCTTGTTTTTGTTTTGCAGAAAGTTTATAGGCAGCAGCCCAATAGCAACATATTCTTTCTTGTAGACCGAACTGAAACACTGTCTCAATGCAAAAGTAAGTTTGCAGTGTAAAAGTTGATCAAATAGTTCACTGTTTTGAAGGTGCATTTGTAGCTGTTAATGATTTCAAAGGTATATTACAATTAAAAACTGGCAACTGTGTATCAATGCAAAGGAGACTTCAAGACACATGCTTGTTTTTCTAGGTTTGGTAGATGTGAAAGTGTTTCCATTTGATACATGGATGTGATAAAAGAGCAAGTGCTGAAGGTGTAGGAAGAATGAGAACACCTGCCCCACAGAGAAGTCTCTATTGGTGCCCTTTGGGAAGCTGTATAGCATTTTGTCCCTTTTAAAAAAGAAAAGTCTAAAAGTTGCATGGGATGAGGAGGAAGAAAATGACAAGTTAAACTGGAGGCTAAGCTGGAAATCTTTAGGTAGTTGAAAGAATGGATCTGTGGGGTCGTGAAGATAGGAGAATGGATGATAAAGGGAACTGATGATTGAACAAGTGTTAGAAATGTATAAATGTATAAATTTTCCTGGAATGAACAATTGCTAGTTTCTTCTTCTTCGATTTAATAATGTTGACATTTTAATTGACAGTTCACTTTTCTTACTATTACAACTGTGTGAATTATACTGATTATATAGGCAATAGTTGGCCATTCCCCTAATTCTTGTAGTGTGGCTTCTTTGGGAGAAAAAAAAATCATAATCTTTATATAATTGAAGGGGACTGCAGTGAGCTATGTTTGTGTTACATGAGTACTAATAGAACTTTTTTTAGCATTTCATCTTTATCTCTTTAATTAAACAAATGGCTGGAATTACTCATTTCTTAGATATAGTCTTAAACTTACTAATTTACCAGATTATGAAACTGATTATTTGTGTATTTTTATCTTACATAGATACATTAGATGAATTAAAGAAGGCACATCAGGAGATGGAAAATTCAGAAAAGACTAAAATCAAGAAATAGTCCGACTGAGTTCAGAGTCACAATGTGTGGTATTTGTTGCATCGTTACCTTGCGTAGCCAGCGTGCTATTCATGATTTCTTTAACAAAGACATACTCTGCCGTCTTAGAAGAAGAGGACCAGACAGTAGCCAACAGTTGATAAAAACTGCATCTGATCTCTCTTATGAGTGTCTGTTTTCTGGCCATGTACTTCACTTGAGGGGACTGGTGACTCCTCAGCCTCTGGAAGATGCCAATAACAATATTTTTCTTTGGAATGGAGAAATTTTCAGTGGAGTGCATGTAGGAGATCTAGAGAATGACACCGAAGTAATGTTTCATCATCTTGCATTGTGCAGTAGTGAAGCAGACATTTTGTCACTCTTTTCATCACTTCGGGGTCCATGGTCTTTTATTTATTATCAGGCATCTACACACAGTTTGTGGTTTGGTAGAGATTATTTTGGTCGTCGTAGTTTGCTTTGGCAATTCAATAATGAGATTGACAGTGCTTTCTGTCTCACATCCGTAAGTGTTTATTCCGAGTCAGGTAACCAATGGCAAGAAGTCCCAGCATCTGGAATTTTCAAAATTGATCTCAAAGCTTGTGCAACAACTAAATCTTTGTCTTTAACGTTATTTCCATGGAAGTACAGCTGCACAGAGAAGGCAGTAGAAGAAATAGTTGTTAATGTTCTGGACCAAGTTTCAAAAGACTTACCGAACCACATACCTCTCATGATGAATCAATCAAAACTATGTCTCAGAGCACCAGTTAGCCCCTTAAATAAAACCATTTCTGAAGCTTCAAGTGAATGTCCAGGCGCTAACGTTAGCAAAATTACCTGTGTGGTTTCTGTAGAAACCCTTCAGGGATTTCTTGCAGAGGAACACAAGAAAATATTAGTCCATCAGTTTATTAATGTTTTAAATGAAGCAGTGAAGAGACGGGTCTTGTCTCTCTTCAGACATGAAGATCAGAAAAAAAGAGAAGTTCCAAGCAAGTATAATAGGAAGGCACACGTTGCAGTGCTGTTTTCTGGTGGCATTGATTCTATGGTTATTGCAGCCCTTGCTGATAAACATGTGCCTTTGGAGGAACCAATTGATCTTCTCAATGTAGCTTTCATGATGAAAGAACAAACTAAGCAAAAGGGTGCCACTAAAAACCATACCAACCGGGAAGTACAGCTTGATTTGCTTTCTCCTCAAGAAAGTTGTAAAGATCTTGATGCTAAAACTGGTGTTGATTTATCTTGCTTTGCTGTTCCAGACAGAATCACTGGTAGGGCAGGACTGAAAGAATTGGAAGCGATTAACCCTTCAAGAACCTGGAACTTTGTGGAAATTAATGTTACACTAGAGGAATTGAAAAAAATGAGACAACAGTGCATTAATCACTTAATTTATCCACTGCATACAGTCTTGGATGACAGCATTGGCTGTGCAATTTGGTTTGCTTCCAGAGGAGAGGGTTTTATTAGTAACCAAGGAGAACTGAGACCATATAAAAGTCCTGCAAAGGTACTAGTTGGTTGCTGCCCTATGCTTGACCTGTGAATATACAAACAGTTCTGTTGTTTCAGAAGGGTCTTTAATATTCTTAAGGCTTCTGCAATTCAGTGGCAGAATATAGAATAGTTCTGTACTGATAGTCTTTGTGTAATTCTGGAGTTAAAAACCGCATTCAGTTCTTTTGTCATGTAATGTGTATGGCTTTTCATTAAGCTTGAATAAGCACCAGTGTGACTAGGAAAAAAATAACAAGTCATCATTTTTGGTGTTTCAAGTTCAGTAGTGGGTAACTGCTATTCAATCCAAACTGAATAGGTTAATAAATTTAGAGATAAATATTAATGAAGTATTAAGTAATGTTTTGTGACACTGTCCCAACAGCTGTAAAATTACTAACTTGTTACTTAGGTACACTAAGTGACAAAATTGCAATTAATAATGGCAGAAAAGATAACTACTTGGAATCTTTTGTAATTTGAGTCTTGTTGAATGACAGAACTACAAAAAATAGTCCTTTCTTTTTTGTAACTTATTTTCATGTATGTAAAGTCTTTTTAGTAACTATATTATTTTCTTGGGAATTTGATTGTTATTTTTCACTTCCCAATTCCTGATGGTTTGTGTAGGGAAGAATAACTATAATGTTAGGAGTTTGCAGTTCACTGCTACCTTTGCTTTTTGAGGCTTCTATTACTTTTCTGCTATTGCTAGATCTTAAAAACACAAAAAACCAACAACAAAACCCCCAACAAATGCAACAGTTTGTGTAAAAACTGCTGCTGTAGAATGCAGTTGATGCAGTTGACTGATCTACTTCAGGATGCATGTGTCAGATTTGTGAAACATACAGATTCATATTAGGTCCAGAATATGTTGAAATGAGTCATGAGTTAATAAAACATGAAGGGAAATTGTCATCATCCTATCAGTTATTTACTAGTGTGCACAGGTAAAAAATTAGTTGACCACCAGCTGGTGTCACATCAGTAAAACACAGTTGACTTTGTGTGTTAAGAGACATCCACTTTTATAGTGAACTGCTGCTGAAGGCACAGTAATGGACCAGATGTAGTAGTGTTTTTCTCTTGGTAATGTTTATATGCTTATCATTGAGTAGACAGAACAATGACACATTTTTATTTCCTGTAATGCAGTTGTTATTAGCCCAGTAGCTGGTAAATTAATCTGGGTGTACATTCGGGTAACTATTTAGAACCAACAACATACTGCATCACTTGCAGCAACAATTTTTTTTTATGAATGCTGGTGCTGTTTGTTGTAATATAAACTAACAAAGACATTCTTCAAAGATGCTGGTGTATTTGTGATAAACACAACATTATTTTGGTGTTTTTTCCTTGCCTTGGTAGAAGTGTTTATGTGTGCTTTTAGGTCTGATTGTAAACCTGCATCAGGTTCGCAGTGACATCACTGGGAACTGTTTCAGGCTCTGTAAATGTGTAAGGCACATCCTATCATGGTAGGTAGTATATTTAGAAGATGTGTATTGAAGTTATTCTCCTTAAGATGTAGTTAAACATTTAAGATCTGTTACATACTATTAGCTTGCATAGATAATAAAGATTTCTTTTATTCTGTTTGTTTAGGTTGTGCTTACAGGAATTGGAGCAGATGAACAGCTTGCAGGGTATTCTCGACATCGTGTTTGCTTCAAAAAGTATGGCTTAGAGGGTCTGAATAAAGAACTTGAAATGGAGTTGCATCGCATTTCTTCTAGAAACCTTGGTAGAGATGACAGGATTATTAGTGATCATGGAAAAGAAGCCAGGTATTATTATTTTAACATGAAGCAAAACTGGTTTTGCTAGTTAGATTCTGTTTTTAACACTCCAGCAGAAAGGTTAATTGAAACTTCTATGCATTTTATTGACTTTAAGTTCCGTTGCAGTTTCATTAATATGTACTGTGTTTTTTGTTTTAAGGGGTCTGTAGTACTGTGGAAGAGTTAAGGAAATTTAGCAACTTGAATATTGGATTTCTATCTGGAAGTTTTAAGAAGCAGCAACAGATGTTGAAATAGTCAAAATCAAGTTGGTTTTATTATTTTAAGTGGAACAGTCTTCTGCACAGCTCTAAAGTGTTCTGGTGTGGTCATCTGGGGAGTGACTTTGTAGAAGGACAACACAACACAGAAGTCACATATTCCTGTCCACACAATAAAAGTGTGATCAATATCCACTGCGTTTCCTGGTTGCTAAGTCAGAATAGTTAAAGAATCATTTTATTTGTGTTTACTTCCTCCATGCTACTGCCAACTTGCAAAAAAATTCCTTAGGTGTTGTCCAGTAGTAGAGGCCACTCAGGTGCATGAAATATCTTTTCCTGTGATCTTTGTACCAATGTTTTTTGAAATCTGTTCTTAGTTGCACATTTTCAGTTTAGTGGGTACAGTGGTAGACAAGCAATGCTGTTAATCGTGCTTGCAGTTAGATAGTGATACCTAGAATTTGGAACATTATCAGAATTTATTGTGTAAATATTTATGTTTCAAAGTTACAGTGTATCTTCATACAGTATTTTTAAATACTTAGAGTTATCTTGAGAATTGTTACTTTAAAATTCTTGCTCTTCCATTGTACTTTTGATTTTCTTCAGAATTTTTTGTTTTATATAAACCCAACATTTCTGATGCTTGTGTTTAGTCTTTTCTTTTGCAAGAGTTTAAAAAATTCCAGGCTTCTGAAGCTTAAACGTGATGTATTATGTTTTCTTTCTCCAAGACAGTCTAACTGCTTTGGAGACTTGCCTTAGTACTGCAACATTAACATTTAAGGTACATCTACAGTTAGGAATTGACAGACTCTGTTTTTGCATATGATAAAGGGGAAAATCAAGACTATTTGTATGAAGTTTTTAAAGGGTCTTTTCCCATGTATATCTTTCCTTTAGGTTTCCTTTTCTTGATGAAGATGTTGTTTCATTCCTCAATTCTCTGCCCATCACAGAAAAAGCAGACTTGACTTTACCTCGAGGAATTGGTGAGAAATTGATTCTGCGCCTTGCAGCCAAGGAGTTTGGCCTTACAGCCTCAACTGTTTTGCCAAAAAGAGCTGTACAGTTTGGATCTCGGATTGCAAAACTAGAGAGCAACAGTGAAAAAGCAACTGACATGTGCAGCAGACTGCAGTTATTTTCAGTAGATTAATTATAAAGCTACATGTTGAGATGTTGCATTTATCACATATGCAAATCCAGTAAATCTTTGGAGTTCTCTTAGAATGCTTGGTCTGGTTTTTTTACACACTTGGACGTTACTATTAATTATCAAAGTAACATGTTTAGATCTGTACTTGTACTAGAGACTCACTATGAATGCATCCGTGGGAAGGGAATACTGGGCTCTGGGAAGAGAGGATCGTCAGAGTTTGGCTTTCCCACCCTTCCTGACCGATGTCAGTGTTGCAAAAAGCGTGTTCTGTCTGTCCAATCTGTCACATAGACTGAATTTAGTACACTACATTTTCCTGTTATAGAACAGGGCTGGTCTTGCAGCTGTGCTTTAGGAGAGGGCTCAGGTTATGGTTTAGGAAGGGAGGGTGTGGTGAGGAACTGGCCTGGGTTGCCAGAGCCAAAAAGAGCTGAGGATCTCAGGCCTTGTTGCCTCTTGGACATCTGCCAACCATGTATCACACTTGCCCTTTTGTTACTTGAGAAAGGGACACCCCACACACCTCCTTGATGTTTTGGGGCCATCTTGTGCAGCCTCCCAGTCCTTGGCCAGTTCTGGAGGGCTGGGTTGGTTGGTGGTCCCCAGCTTGGGACCCCCTCTGCTCCCAGAGAAACTAGGAAGTTCCCTTCAGGCTCTGTTTGTCCCTCATTAGCTCCCCTAGCTTGATTCCTCTCCTTTAGCTTTAACTTTGCTACATTTAACTTGCAAAGCATCCTCTGTGTACTTCAAAGAAGATCTCTTTTAAACAAAACAAAAAAAGGTCTTTAAGGAAAAAAAAAAAAGGTACTCTGAGTGAGTATGTGGATGCAATCATGAGATTGAAATAGAAATACGAATGGATTTCCTCTGAAGAGGAGCTTGAGTTAGCTTGTTCTGATTGTGTATTGAAGGATTGTAAAGTTAATGTCTTAAGAAAAACTGGATACATACTCTCCAGTGGTTTTGGTAAGGTCAGAGCTTGGTACTCAATGTGCTACCTTACAGTTCTAGTTTTCTGTTTGTCCAATTAAGCATAGAAAGGAAAAGTCACATCAGAAAAAAAAAAATATCCATTTTCACACAGAGCACAATATATCTATTCCTACAAAGTATCTCTAAGGGTGTAGATTTTCAATTTGTCAAGTCTGTAAAGAAATGTTTATTACAAAAATTTAAGTTTCAGACTGGTTCACAGCACTGGCAAATTTCTTACTGGTGCTTTTGAGGAAATTTGACTCCCTAGTACCATACCCTGGTATGTGTGCAAGAGTTTTTGCATTGTGCTCTAAAGCAGGTGGAGACTGGACCAAGAGGAGCATTAGGCTGATGAAATGCGACTACTGTTCATTACTTATCTCTGTTGGAGTGTTCCTAGAAGTTATGTGCACCTAGGACCCTAAGAAGAAAAAAGTTGTGCTTTCTATACCTGGGCAAATATTTTCCAAACTAAGAGGCCTCTGATATTTAGAGAAACATGAGAAATATTTTTGGAAGGCTTCTAAATAGTTTTAGATAGTAGAAGGAAACCATATAATTTCATGTTGGTAAACTTTTCAATTTATCCAGTTATTCATAAGAAATCAATTTATTATTATTTATGGTACACTTAGTATTATTTATAAAGTTTCTTGACCAGATGTTTAGTTCCAGGGAAGGGTAAGACATTTTAAAATACCTGATGAATTGAAATCACATTCTATAATATTTTAGAACAATCTACAGGAATGTTACTGTTTTATAATCTTGTTCTTAAGAGCTTTATTGTTTTCTTGCAATTACTAGTATAGTTCTTAATGGAGTAATCACTCCCTTTTTTTTGTTAGCCTCTCTAAGAACTGTATTTTGGAAATTGGAGAATATTCTTAGAGAATGCTCAGGCCTGACAAAAGTGTTCCCTAGAGCTGAATAAGCTGATGAGGCAACCTGCTTGTCAAACTTAGTAGCACAGAAAAATACTAGTGCCTTGTTTGCAAAGTCTGACTAAAGTAAGTATCAAGAATTACTTACTACTCTGTCCTCTAGTTGGCTGGCTTCAGAAGATGACATAGTGCTTGTTAGATGCCCAGTGGACTGCTGGGCCAGATAAAAAAATTTATGTACCCAGACAGCAACTTTGCTAGCACTGATGGATTCAGATATGCCCTTGCATTATCAAGAAATCCATCAGATGTTAAGAGAAGTTGCTGTTGGAATTTGCTGTTTAAACCTTCCATTGGTGCAGACGCAAACTGTCATCACGGCACTTCTTGTCAACTCCCTCCAGCTTACACTGATACAAAAATTGGACAAATTTCGACCAGTAGATTACATGGCAGAAGTTTGAGGCATATATACCCAAAGACAGATGTGTTGAGTTCCTTGAGCTCTGGTGCTCTGAAGTAAACATTGATACTGATACCGATGGGAAAACCCAAACAGATGGAAATATTTTTTGAGTTTTTGTTCAGGAGGCAAGTACAAAAACATTCCTATTAAAAAAATACCTAATATTGCATGTAGTTTATACATGGCACTCCTAAAAGATGAGATTATTACTCAGAAAAATACAGATCATTTGATCTCATGCAAAATTATAAGGTGATATGAAATACTGTAATTAACACATTACCAAAAGACCTCAGCTTCCACTGTGATATTTAAGTGATTGGTTCTCAGAAGTACTCAGTACTTTGAAGCACTCTCTGAGAATAAGAACAACTCCAGGCTTCTGAATTCTTAAAAATACATCTCTAAAGACACATGCATACATTTTTTTCCTAACGTTTTACATAGTTTATTTATATTATTTAGCATATCTCTAAGATTTAAAATTAGTTGCCTTGCTATATAAGGTGTTAGAGACTAACATGTAACTAACTAACATATAACTAAGAATTCCCAATGTATTAATAAAAATACTGTCAGGTTATATATGCAACAGCAAAGTGCATCTGACAAATGCATTTTTAAAACTGAAGAATGCTTAAAATTTTAGTGGTACAGATTGTTGTGGCAGACAACCATAGTTTTATAAAAGGTTTCATTTGACCTTGTAGAATTTTGTACTCATTCCCGATTTGCAGGTCTAATTGGTATTTTCACTAATATGATTTTGAGGGAACCTGTGATGAAAATAGAAATGAAGATCCAATTTATAATCTAAACTACAGAAAACAAAAGTGTCTTTTATGTAGTATGCCAATAATATGCTATTTAAGTTGACACTTGGCACTACACAAGTTGAGCTACATGAAAATGTATTTAGGTTTGATGTGCTAAAGAGGTTCACCAATGTGGTAAGATTAACAGAGGCCTATTAAGATACAATAACATGTGCAGGAGAGACTACCTCTTTAGCACAATTTTCTGAAGAAACAACTGGAAAAAATCACAAGCTATCTGCAGGAATATAAAGTACCTCAAGTTAATGAACTCTGATTCTACTTTTACTGGGGTTTAAAAGGATGAAAATCCAAAATTTAAGTAAACGTCTTCAACCATATTCTAGTAAGAAAACTGTAAATATGCTCATTTTATAAATTCAAAATTGGCATTGATATTTTTATATTTTCCAGATAGCATATCTTGTCGATTTTTTAAATTATACCATTTATATATTAAATACTAAAATATCTTTAGTCTTTTAAACTGTTGTCATTTTGCTACCTCTAAAGAAGAAAAAAACCATCTTTTTTATGTCTGTGGAGTTAAAACAAGAGAACTGTCACTGTTTGGGAGGGGGTTTTGGACCAAATTTCAGCTGTCAACATTTTCAATATGCAAAGAATATTTTCATATCCATGGGGAAAGTGGGTTTGTCTTGTAATGCATGCATGAATATGTCTTTACAGTTAATATATGAGAGAATAGTGTATTTGGTTAAAATTAGCATAAGAGAGAAGGAAAGAACATGCTTGTTCCAGGAGTTATAGGTTTGTCTAGACTGTTATTGCTTGGTTATCTAAGTAGTTCTCACAGACCAGGCTAATACAGAGCTCACTTCTTATTTCTCACATGTTAATGCTGAACTGTACAAGCTGACACAAGATCCCTTAATCGTAAGGACAGCACTGCCCTAAAAACAGCCTAGCCTCTAGGTAGCCTTTCTGGGTGGCACAACAGCAGCGTGAATGATGATCAAGAGAGATTCACCTTATCATCAAATATGGGTTTTATTTGCCAGGATGTCTGCAAATGATCTGTATAAAGAGGCAAAGCACTTTTACACATGAAATGAAATAAAAATTGTACTGCAGCTTCCACGTCTGCTGAGCATTGGTAAGGCTTGTGAAGCTGCAATTCTGTTGGTCATTTTATTGATGTAAACAGTTAGATATTGATGTAAACAATCCTTACAGCTGATCTAGTAACTTTTTTTTCATGGGCTGTCTATCAGGCTAGAAGGCTCGGTTGTTTGATGTGGATATGCCAGGTAGAGAACATAACCCCATTCCAGTCAGGGAATTCGATGGTAAGAGGTAAGGAATATGCACAGTAATAGAGATACTATGGTATAGTCTTTAAAATAATAGACATCCTTTCTGATTTCAGATTGGCATTTACTTTACTGAAATTGCTGAGTATACTAGGAAACTTTGAGAGGAATATAGATTTTCCTAGTTTAAGAGAGAAAACATATTTTGACTACAGTTTGATTTTTTTTAATTGATTAAACAACACTATCAAATACTAGTTAAAGTTCTGTACATGTAGTACAGTTGCTGGCAACATACAGGGTTGCTGGCTAAGTACTGTGCAACATGTATTTTGTATAATGGAGTTACTTTTGCTGGAAATAGTGAAATAGAAGTTCTGTAGAAACAAATGAAAAGCAGCATTGTTCATCAAAATAATAGCTTTTTTTTCAATGCTTTAAAGTCAAGCATGTGAAAATATTCTTACAAAAGTACTGTAAAACTAAGGTTTAAATTGTAAACAAGCAGACTGGTTAAATTTTTCTTCCCTTATTTGAGCACTGTAAAACTTCAAAATGTCCTATAGGAGGCAGTGGTTGCATTATTTAATGTAAGAAAACTGCTGGTCTTGCTATAGATATATTCCAAGTAAATGTTTTCAGTTGTACTAACTACTCTAAAACTTACTGCAACATATTTCACAAAGATAGAATTTCAAGGTGTAATTATTTTTTTAGGTTTAAAATCTTAGCAATTGTTTGACTGTTGCAGTTACTGAACATATTTCAAAAACTTTTTTTTCAACTGTGTAATCTGTTTTACTTGATTCACTGAGATAGACTAGGAAATTGTCATGACTTTCTAATTCCTTGTAACAAGATATTGCCACTTAAATTTCAAATCTTCTTTAATATAATTACCTGGGGCATTGTTCCTATGTACTTGTTTTGGAAGAGCTTTAAAGTTTTTATAATTAAGAAAAAAAATAATCATTTTTGCTGTGTAAGCTCTCAAACACTTAACTGAGAGAAACGTAATAGTGATTTGTTAACTGTATTTGTAGTATCATGCGAGAAAGTTTCCGTTGTGATAGAATCAAGATCTCTGGTCCAAGCAACCTAAGTTTTGGAAGGCATGAGATATACTGGAAACAGTCCACCTCCAGTTCATAAAGTTGGATCTTGGATGAGAAATTGGTATTGGATTTTATTAGCGTTTACATTATCACAAAACACAGCTCTTGAGGGATTTCTTCCTCCTCAGGTCCAGAAAGTTTGTCAGCAGGGAGAGACACTTGAGTAGCAAGGCTGACTGGCTTGTTGATCCCAGGGAAGGTATGACCAGCTGGGATAATTAAGAGATTAGGTGTCATATGGAGGAAAAAGGGTTTTGCTCACTGTTAGTTTCAGAAATTCCCATCCTTCATCTATGGTGAAATCAGTGAGCCAGATGTATAAACATACTGCTGGATAGGGCCTATGAAATGTGATAGTTAAATTATTTAACTAAATGATACATTACTTTACCAAGAAGATAAACTGCTTAATGACAGATACATTATGTAAAGATAAATTACTTGTAGGTGAAATCCCATGAAAATAAGACTCCAGAAAGGCGATGTAACAAAATGTAAAAACTTGGTACTGTTTCAATGTTTTTTGTTCAATGAGGGATCTTAACCTTCTTCTAAAAATTAACTGTTGGCCAAAAAAAAAAAAAAAAAAAAGCGCATGTACCTTGTTAATTTGTTACATCTTGCCCTTGAGTTAAAAATAAATTGAAAACACAGGCAACTTGTTTATCTGCTTATAACTGTCCCACAAATCACAGTTCCTTGTTTGTGTTTAAATGGAAACAAACATGTGCATTATGAATCAGAAAACTTTTATTGTCATCCAAAATGAAGAGGTGCTTAATGCTTGGACGTAATTATTCCAGTGAATACCACTGCAATGAATAATAATGCAAAAGCATATTATACTGATTATCAAATGCAAGGTCAGATAACCCATTATTCAGATGGAAATTCAGAACTTGCATCTTAACAGCTTACACTGGTAGTAGCTTTACTGAGCTGTTTATAAAAAAAGAGAAAATTGAAAGGCACTATCCCTGTACCTGTCTCTT